CTGTGCCCCAAAGGCGTTGCGATCATAACTCATGTACTGAGACGCCTGCACAGCGCGCGTCTTCTCCGCCTCATATTCGGCCCAGGCGGATTTGCGCTCCTCCTCAGTTAGATTCTCGTGCTCCTCCTGCTCCAGCAGCGAATCATGCTCATGGTATTTGAATATCAGCTTTTCATGCTCCGTCAACAGTTCGGCAAACAGCCGATCTTTGGGCAGCAGCGGCATCTCGCGCTCAACGGTCGGCTTGAGCTCATATGTGTACAGTTCCATTAGATCGGTTTGATTGTAATGCCTAGAGATCTGTTGCTCATCGATAACACGCTTGGCCGTTGCCTGCTTGGCCACCTGACGCTCATAAACCTTCTGCTCCATGGTGCCCATGGCAATGAGACGATAGATGTAACATGGTTTCACCTGACCAAAGCGATAGACACGAAAGATGCTCTGCGTATCGTGCGAGGGATTCCACGACACATCAAAGATGACCACACGATTAGCGGCCACAAGATTTATGCCCAAGCCGCCAGCGCGTGTCGAGATAAGAAAGAGTCGGGCACGCAAATTACTGGCGTTATTGAATTTTTTGCACATGGATTCACGCTGCTCCACGCTGCAGGAGCCATCCAAGCGGAAGTAATCCTCGCCGGGTGTCCAGCAGCCCTTGAAGTTGCCCACGTCACCTGCGGTACGAAAAAGAAAACATTACGAAAATGGATATTTTTTAACGGAAATGTTAATTTATGGCGCATTTCTATTAACATTTGGATAAAGCACAATACGACTCACCCTCAAATTCATAGCCCTTGGTATTGCTATCCACCAAAGAGAGAAAATGCTCGATAACATCCAAGGATTGTAGGGACTGCGAGAAGACAAGCAATTTGTCACCAATGGCCTCGCACTGTTGCAGTAAACGCATCAGGATTAGCAGCTTGGGGGAATGATTAACATTGTTCAGCTCCCTCTCCTCAACGAAGGGCTTCCACCATTCAGAGGGATCATCCTTCTGCGCAGATACACCGCCTCCCATTAGCTCCACATCCGAATCGCTGTCCACCAATCCAGAGCGTACACCGTTGCGCGTCTTGCGACTCTTTCCTTTACTGCCGCCTGCGGCATCTGTGTTGACAAGGGTCAAACTGGCATCCGACTTAAACGATTCAGCACTGTCCGATGAATTGGAAACCGCATCCTCCTCCTCGGAATCATCACATATAAAGCCTTCCATTTCATCAGAATCATCGTTGCTCAGCAAACGTTTTGCAATAACATTGTCGCTGTTCACGCGCAGATTCATTGGATGTGTCCAGATGCGACGCAAGTCCTGAAAGTCTTGAAAGAGTCGTGCACCCTTGCCGCAAATATCAGAGCTGCCCTGGTCCCGATGCGTGGTCATATAATAACCATATAGCTGCTGCTGTAGCTCAGAAAGTGTCGTATAAACGACATACTCATGCTTAGGAGGCAAATAGGGCGCTAGCACTGAGTAATCCCGACGCTGTATACAGCCCTCGAGCAGCTTGTGCAGAATGTGCGAGCGATGCTTCATCAGACGCAAATCACGCTCCGTAGAGTCCGTGTATTGACCATTGCTAATCGGATTAACAAAGCGATTCATATACTCCTTATATGTGCCCAATAAACTTGGCTTCACAAACTGAATCATGCAATAGTCTAAGTAAAAAAAAAAATAGATTAATATTTAATATTCTTGTGGATTATACTATGATGATATTTGCTTAAAGCATTCCTGAAAAATTAGACTAGGTGAAAGCTTCAGATGCAATTGTAATGAGCAGTAATAGATTGCAAATAGCCTGAGGAGATTTATTTTGGTAAGTCTTTAAGATTTGATTTTTAAAGCTAAGGCAATATAATCTCTGCCATTCTTTAAATGATGGCCAAGCTTCAGTGTTACTTAAATCAAGTGTCATTACTGCATAAAAGCAAGTGTCATTGAGGCATTTACTTACATTCTTTGAGATTATTTTGGAGCGGCGTGCCAGTGAGTACAATGCGACGCTTGGTGCGCATACGTGTGACCGCCTTGCTAATGGATGTCTTCTCGTTCTTCAGGAGATGACCCTCATCGCAAACAACCAGATCTGGGCCTGGCTCGACAAGCGCATGCTGCAGCTGTTCGCGCTGCTTTTTACGCAAGCCCTTAGCTTTTTCATTGGCCAAAATGCGATACATATCGTAGCCCAGTATGCAGACGCCGCCCTCTTCGTACCATTCGTTTAGCTTGAAGATGCGCGTCGGTTTGTCCTTGTAGCGTGAAATGTCATAGACCTCAATGTCGCGTCGATGGGCGAATGCCATCCAGTGTACAAACTCGCGAGCCCAATTATTTACGGTGCTCAGTGGCGAGATGACCAGTACACGCTCCACGCCGGTGCGCCGAGTGTTTGTGAGCAGCGTGTGAGATAGCGTGACCACTTGTAGCGTTTTGCCCAGGCCCATGCAATGGGCCAGTATACAGCCGGAGCCGGGCTTTTGCTCGCTATCCTTGAGCGTCTCGAAGCATGCATCCCACATGAACTTGACGCCCGCCACTTGGTGAGGCTTTAGCTTCTTAAGCAGACCCTTGTCTACCTGGAGCAGTGCCTTCTTAGAATCCTCGTCAAAGTCTAGTATCAATTCACTTATTTCAATGCTTTCCGATTTCTCAAATATGCGATTGTAGAGCTTTTGGCGCTCCTCGATACGTTTGCGGCGATCCTCCTCCTCTTTGGCTGCCTCCTTGGTGGTCAAATCCAAATCTTTAGTCTTGATTATTTTGCGTATATGCTTGCGCTTGTTCTTGTTCTTCTCGTCGTCACCATCATCGCTATCGCCACTGGAATTCTTTTTAATGCGTCGTCGCTTCTTTTTTTTCTTGTCCTCGGGCTCAAAATCAGATGAGTCCTGTGCGGAGCCGGCATCTTTTTTGCTTCCAAAATTGCGACGCTTCCGTTGTGGCATCACCTCACTGGCGCTGCTCTGAGCATCCTCAGCATCCTCAGCCTCGGTATCAGAGTTCTCTTGCTTTTCCTGCTCCGATTCCGCTGGCTCATCAGCTGCCTTGTAATCGGAGTCGTTATCGCTGACAGTTTTATCGCGCCGATTGCGCTTCGAGGTGCTCGCCTGCTCCAGTTCCGAATCAGTGCTCATCTTGCGCTTTGACTGCACTTGCTTGGCAGCTGTTTCGCGTCCTGCTACTGCTGCTGATGCTGCGGGCAGCTTTAGACGCTTTAGGCGCACTACGCAACGACGTAGCTTTTGTGTGGGCTCCTCGTTTGTCGCGCTGTCGCTGTCAATTAGCAGCTTTGAGAGTAAACTCTGTTTAATTGGAGGCTTCTTGGAGCGTCCTCTGCTTTGCTCCGACGATGAGGAGCTTATGCGTGAATTGCGTTTGGCTTTTTGCACAACAATCTCTTCTTCGTCAGTTGACTCCTCGTCGTCGCTGAGTTCGATAATGGAAACGTTTTTGTTGCGACTTTTGCGCGGTGGCAGTACAGAGGCTGGCCTTAAATTTGTTTTTGCCTTAACGTTGACGTTAACGTTGGCGGCGTTTCTTGTGGACCTGGTGCTGGGGCTGCTGTTATTGCTCTTGTTGTTTGGCTGTGCAAGCAGTTTCTCCAGCGGCACAATGCTTATTTTGAATGCTGGCTTGTCGTCAGTAACAGTTTGATCGTCCGAGCCGACCGCGTCAGTTAGTGAATTGATTGCTGCAGTTGTAGCTGTTGCGTTTCCGTTAATGCCATTACTTTTGCTGCCTGTTTTGTTCGCTTCAATAGTTGTTTTTGTTGAGTTCTCGTTGTCATTGTTGCTTGTGTCTGGTTGCTCCGTTTTTATACTTTTGATATTTTGCTCGCCGCTGTTGCCGCTTTTGTTGCTGCTATTGTTGCTATCGTCGCCGTCCAGTGGATTGATCAAAGTTGCAACAAATGTCTCCCGAGGGTCCGACTTTTCCTCTCCCATAGGTAACAGCGTGTAGGAGCTTCTTTGCGCCGCGTCTCAATTTCGAACAAAGCTAAAACGTTTAACAAAAAAAAGTAAACACAACAAAATCGAGTACATTTTATTTGTTGCAAATTTTTCATTTTAGTTCAATTTGCTGATCTGCTGTTCGATGCGCGTTTGCTTTCGGCGTTTTTGTTGCGCCCTGCTTCTTCAGTTTTTCCTTTTTTTTTTTTTGCAAATGCTCTAGTTGCACCTTTATGTGGCTCGGTTGGTTGCGGACTTTAAACAAACTATTTGTTTGCAAAATGGAAATACACACATAATCTTTAATTATAAGTTTACGACATTTAAACGATTTTAAATGGTTAATTTTTCAACATTCCACCGCCGCGCTTTTTGGCACAGACGCGCTCAGCACCGCACATATACACATGTACATATATACACACACATGCAAATGCGCCACTCACCTATTGCGATTTTTCATTTGCTTTTTGCATTTTGCACTGCACTTGCAGTGTACTCACTGCACATTTATAAATTATTTATGAATAAATTTATTAAATCAAAATGAATTACATATATTTAAAATAAAGCATTAGCATCGCACTGCCAACGCCGCCGCTAAAAATTTTATTTGCTGGTATACACAGCACACAAACACACAGATGTTGATAATGGCAAGGGCAACTCTAGCGCCGACACTAGAGGTGAGTAGTATTCGTATAACTGTTATTTATTCACCCTGTGACTGGATATCTAAAGGATCACAATTTACATTAAGTAAAAGGCTGATTGGGAACAAACTAATTGATATTTAAGCGAGTTATTGTACAAATTAAAATATGGATTACCCGTGTCTTACATATAATGTAGTCTCCCAATCACATTCTTGTCACTGTTATTTAAAACTATAATATGTACTCCATTTCGATCGAGTTTGCAGACATGCCTACGTAAACTATTATTTACTAATAAAGTTTAAATTTTTGATTTTAGTGCCAAAGAATGTTGCTTAAATTAAAATTAATTTTCATTTATTTAATTGAATTTGCATGTAGTCAGCTGTTATTTCGTATAGCGTTGCCATACCTTAATTTAACTGTTAGGCGCTGCCAACACGTGCCGAAAATACGAAGCAAAGAAAAACACCAAAAAACGCAGAGAAAACATGCTACCAGCCGAAGAAGCAAAAGCAATAAAAAAGAGGAAAACAAGCAGCAAATATGTTTGATATAACGAGGCAGCGGAAGAGACAAAAATTATAAATTAGTGTAGAGAAAAAATTTGCCCAGTGTGCGAAGAGAAGCAAAGCTGCATTCATTAATTGAGTAAAAACGACAAAAAACCTCAAGTAGCTATGAGCAATAACAACAGCAACAATATCAGCAGCAGCAGCATGCCATACCCGGAATCCGAGGAAGAGGAGGAGGAGCTCAGCGGGTCTTACAACATCAATGACAATGGGGGCCAGCTAAGCGACTGTAGTAGCAGCAACAGTAGCGCCACTAGCAGCAGTGAAAAAACGGCAAGCAGCTCTAGCAGCAACTCCAGCGATGAGGACGACGACGATGAAGAGGACGCCACGGACCAGGACACGCGTACCGATTCCGAATCGGATGATGGCACCACTACGCAATCCGATGAGCTCGAACTGGCTCAGCTCAGTGAGCAGCACACATTTCGATTGCCCCGCGGCCTCTGCGAGAATGCGAGCGTCTTCCATGAATTCTTTTCCGTAGAGACCTGGCAAATGCTGCCCAACAATATGCAGGCGCAACTGCAGCCTTTGCTGCCTAGCTATGCAGCTCTGCTGGGGCCTTCTCAGGCGGCAGCGGAACAGCAGCGCACGCTTCTGCAGCTCTTCAACGGTGGACTGCAGCGCTTTGGGCAGTCTCCATTGCTGCGACTGCAGCGCAAGTTGGAGGAGGGCAGTCTGCGGCCGGATGTGTTGCAGCTGCGTCTGAGCATTGAGCGTTCGCAGCGACGTGAGCGTCGCTTCCAACAAGCCGAACGACTCAGTCGTTTGGCCAAGGAGCTGTTTCTTTCCCGCGAGCAAATGCTGCAGCAGGTATATGGAATGGCGCCGCCGCCAGAAGGTGACACATTCAAGGCGCAGCCCTGCCCACGTAAACGGAAAACACCGACACTTCACAGAGAGAACAAATTCTGTGTGGACCGTGCACGCAAACGATACTGCCAGGAGCTCGTGCAGCTGGCACGCGATCTGCAGCTGCAGCCCGGCGACATCAGTGCCGACGAGCAGGATGAGGAGGCTGCACAGATCGCCATAATTGACGAGGAGCGACAGTTGAAAACGGAAACAATTTCGCGTCCATCAAATGCGGCGGATAAGAAATGCATTTACAGTACCTTCTTCAAGCGCCGGCCAGGCCTGGATGATGAGCAGGTGCTGCGGAGGATGCAGTCAGATAAGATACAGCCGCTCAATGAGAAAAACTTTAAGAAATACCTACGCGACTACAAGCGACGGAAACTGCAGCAACCGGTGAGTAAAGCATTTTTACCAGCTGTAGCGAATTAGATATGGGTGCGTGTCACGATTTTTAAATGCGAGTAGCCTAGTCCAAGAAGAGGCACAGCTTAACTGCAAATGCAGTAAACAAGATATATATATAAGAGATCTTGAAACGGTGGTAAACATTTTTATTGTTTTCTTCAGTTTGATATTACTCAAATACGAATTAATGCCTACATTAAGCGATGACATTTCTTTTTATTTATTTAAAAGAGTTAACAGGTTTCGATTAATACTACTAATTCGAAAGGATTCCCAGCATTTCTACGATTTTAATTAGTTTAAAATTACTGTTAGCGGTTTTCTGATACTGGAAATTAATTCAAATTAATAATCATTCTAATGTAATGAACTAATTAGAGCGCAATCGACTTATATAATCTTAGTCTTTTAGGGATCGGTTGAAATGTTGAATTTTTACGCGCTCATTTGATATCGATAAATTAAATATTGATTAAAAATATATCGGTAGGATATTCAATCCTGGCTTTCTGCCCGCTGAAAACGAAATATTGCATAACAATTAGCCCCTGCGTAAGACCTTCTTGTTTATATAAAATATGATATATTTTTCGTTCATAATTACTAGAATCAATAGAAAATATGATGAGAGTAAAACAAATCTATTTGGTTTCAGCAATTGCCGGACTTTGACACCGCTGATATACGACTGCGTGATATTTGCACACGCGCCCAGTTTGTGGGCAGCTTTAAGCCAGGACGCAAGCCGAAGGCACTAACAGCGCGTTTCAATCAGCAGGTCAATGAGCCGCCTGCCCTGGTGCCCATTGGTGGCAAGGCCAAGCAAACGGAGCAGGCAGCCGAATTGCTCACCGATGATCCGCAGCATCTGTACGGACGCGCTGCCCTGGAGCCCGACGAGGAGGAGCTACAGCAGGAATTGCAGGAGCAGACGGAGCCAATGCAACAAATGTCGAAGACATTTGCGAATGCAGCTGCAGTTGGCCTCGCACAACAGTTGCCCAAACTGGAGCCCATTGCGTCGCGTACCTTGTTCAGCAGCTCGCCCCGGGCATTGGTCAAGGCTGGCGCTCATATCACCGGCAGTCCCACAAGGGATGCAGCAACAACTGGCACGCCACGTGCACACACCTGTTATTTTTCACTGTTGCGCGATTTGTTTGTGTCCACGCCACAGCATCGTTTGACCTACCAGGAGCTGCAGTCGCAGCTGCACAAGTGGCGCACGGAAAGCTGTACTGGTGGGGCACCGGACTGGCTACGCCAGCTGCCCAACGATTGGACGCAACTGCTGCAATCGGCTGTTAACTTCTTATCTGGTGACTTCGTCACGCTGCCGGCGGAATATGTGCCCTACATTGAGCATAAAACCCAGCTAAACATTTATCAGTGGATTGGCGCTGGCCGAGACTCGGATGCGCGTCTGCAAGCGATCTGCCAATTTTGGTTGCAGCGACGCAAGGAAGACCCAACTGTGCAACAGTTGCCGCTGCAACAGATCCCGGCACAGCAGCAATTAAGTCCCACTGCGGTGCTAGATATGACGCCAACACCGCCGCCACGCTGTCCCACCAGCTGGGCGGTACGTGTAGCCACGCAAGCAGAGATGCTGGAATTTCAGCGGCAGGAGCGTCTGCGCTTCGAGCAACCGCATCGTCCCTTCACATATCGAATGCACGGCTATGAGAGCGTTGTGGGTCCGGTCAAGGGCATTTATACGCAGAGTTTGGCCTTGAATAAGGCACGCGGACATGCCGTCATGGTGGACGACAGGCCGCCATATGTTACCATATTGACGCTGGTGCGTGATGCCACTGCACGGCTGCCGAACGGCGAGGGCACTCGCTCAGAAATATCGGAGCTGTTGAAGTGCTCGCAGTTTATCAATCGCCAGGCGGCGGAGAACGTGCTGCAAACGATTGTGAGCGGTGCGCTAGATCGCATGCATGGCGGCCTGGATCCATGTGTCCGCTATGATGCGCGCCGAAAGATCTGGATCTATTTGCATCGCAATCGCAGCGAGGCGGACTTTGAGCGTATGCATCGCCAGAACCAAACTATGGTCAAGCAGAAACAGCAGCAGCGCAAGCACAATAAGCCAAAGAAGGATGACGCAATGGACACGGCACAGGAGCTGCCCGCATTGGTGGCAGCTACTGCAACAACACCAGCAACGGGCACAACAACTGCACTACCAGCCGTCGGTGCTGTGTTGATCAAAAAGCAGCATCAGCAATCAACGCTGCCGTTGCAGGTGAAATGTCCGCCGGTGCCGCCACTCAAGTATCATATACCGCCGAGTGGCACGCCCGCTGGAACCGTAACTGCAACGAGCGGTGCAGTCCCGACCCAGCAGCTAGCGACTGCACAGAAATCTCTGCTTAAGGCCACGCAGCGTAGCGGCGTTGTGACCCTGCTTGAAAGATCGCCCACAGCGCCAGGCGCTGGCACCGTGCAGCTACTGAAAACATCGCCAAAAATGCCACAGCAGCAGCAGACGGGGCTCAAATGCAGTCCCACGCGCAATACTACGCCCATACTGGTGTCCACGCCCAGTGGCCTGCAAACAGTGCATGTGGCCGCTACGCCCAACAAAAAGCTGGCCATCAAAAAGCCCATTGTCATCAATACGCCCGCACAGACGCCAGCACCGGGTGGACAAGCTGGTAGCTTCATTGTGCCATTGGAACAGCAGAAACAGCAGCAGCACCACCAGCCGAATAAAGCATCGCCCGCGCGCCCGCAAATGCCTAAGAATATTATACGCCTGATGCCCGCCGGTGGAGCAGGCACAGTTGGCAGCAAGCCGTCAGTTGTACAGCTGCCAGCCAGTCCGGCGGCAGCCAAGCCCACGGCGCCTGTTCAAATACTTGGACCTCGAATGCTTGCACAGACCACAGTGCGTCCGTTGCAGCAAAAGATTGGCGCTGTCTCCATTGTCAGCAATAAGCCGACGGGCACGGGTAGCGGCAGTCCGATTGCCAATGCGACAGCCAGCGGCACGGGTACCATTGTCAAGATGTCGCCCCAGGCATTTGCCACGCTGCAGCAGCAGCAGCTGAAGCAGAAGGCCGCAATTGCTGCACAAACTCAACAGCACCAGCAGCAACAACAACAGCCTCAACCACAGCAGCGAATACTCGTGGGTAAGTGCATAACATATGCCAATTTCTAAAAAAAATAGCTGATACTCAAAATGTAATGCGCTATGGGTAATACATAAAACAGTTCGTCCTGACTGCAGACTAAAGCTTCTACTGAAGTTACTTCATGTCTTCACAGAACCATCAGATCGGATTGATACTTATATCCAAAGGTCTTTGTGCGAATGCATTTAAAGTATCAGCTTTCAGTTTTTCATAAAATTATGCTCATATTTTCCGTTCTGATTTTCTATATGCAGGTAACACGGCAATTTCGTCGAACAAAAACATTGTGTTCCAGGCGCTGCCAAAGGCGGCACCTAAAATACTCAGTACCATGGCCGGGCAGGCCAAGCCGCTGGCCACCGCGAATCTCTCGCCGCAGCAGCAGCGCATTGTATTGCAGAGCTTCAAGCAGCCGGTGGCGACAGCAGCTGGTGCCTCGCAGACAACAACGCGTATCATACGCACGACCCCGGTGGCAGCAACAACGTCCGTTGGCACGGCCACAGCAACACAAGGCGGCCACATATTGACGTTGGAGAGCCTACTGCAAAAACAGAACGCTGGGAAGCTCATACAGCTGGCCACAACCACAGCCGGTGGCAATGTCATTACACTGTCGCCCAGCGGCCAAGGCCAACAGCAGCAAGTGACCACGACCAAGCAGCTTCCGACAACGGCGCGAATTGTGACAGCCGGGTCTATGGTGCCCAAGATCATTGGCAAGACGACAGTTGTGCCTGGCAAACCGCTGCTGCTGCATGCTAAGACTCTTAAACTGGGCGGCAATACAGGGGTCAGCACTCAAACGCCCACAGCCACAACGCTGACGAGCGGCGCCATGAAGACGGCGCAAAACATTGTAATTGGCGGGCAGACGGTGAAGCTACAGGGAGCGGTAAGCACGTGGAATTGTAATTTTCAAGAAGCACCTATAACATATACCTATTGCAGACGATTCCAACGCGCAATGCGGCAGGCGCACCCATGCAGACGGTCATCATGGGCAACCAATTGTTGCGCCTCGCCACCAGCAGCAGCGCCACCGTGAACAGCACCGCGACCATCAGTAATAGCCTGCCCGGCACGTCCAGCGGCATTGCGAGTGCGCCCAAAACGTTGCTTATCGGCGCTGGTGCGGGACAAACGCTGCGTCTGGGCAAAAATGTGCTGCTCGCTGCCAGCAGTGGCAGTGGCAATGTGAGCACCACAACAACAATGGCAACAACCAATGCAACACCCGCCAACAATCTTGTATTTGCTGTTCAAAACAATGGCGGACAGTTGTTCTTTACGCCCGGACTGCAGGGCGTCAATCTTAAGCCGTTGTCCAGCTTGAAAGTGATACCCATGGCCACGGCGACAACAGCCGTTGGCGCCGGCAGCGGCGTCAAACTGAGTAATGTGACGGCGGCAACTGTTGATGCGGTGGCTGGCAAAACATTAAACACCAAACTGTTACCCGCAGCTGTGCTGAAGACGGCGAGCGGGGGGCATGGAAATTAAATGGAGCACATGGCAGAGGCTTGTTAAAACTATGTTGTTTTCATATTCAGTTGTTTGGATTTAACCTTTATCATTTATATATATCTATATATAGTAGTTTACATATGTAAATTACGATTTTTAAGCAAAAAGTTTAACACAAATTTTGCTTCGTATAATTATATGAGAATTGAAAAGTTGGGCAATGCACAGCTTCATTAAACCTATTATAATGTTTATTTAGAAGAAAAAGACCTATACAGCTGTACATTAATATAATAACAGACAGACAAAAATTTCCATAATAAAAGTTCAGCAGCTGCTTTAATTTAGCAACATACTTTTCTAGCACACTGTATCGCATCAACGACGCAGCCGCAACACAAAATAATGAAGCCTATGTTTTCTACGAAATTATCTGCTAATGAAGTATACAAAATTAAGATAAACTAAATGAACAATTGAATATAAACAATGACATGACTATGGCTATGTGTGAGTGTGCGTGTGTGTTTACTATCCAGTTATGGCCATTCTTTCAGCTGCTTGTAGCGGATTACGAACATCGCTTATCCATCAGAATGGCGCCTTAGTGTGCTGTTTTAGATGTCGGTTAAGTTTAATTTTTAAATCGAATGTTTTGCCGCAAATACTACATTCGCACAGTGACTTGGTGTGCCGCGGATTGCTGGAATGTTGGCTCCTATTGGTATCATCTTGCATGGCATTTGTTGTGCTTGGTGAAGTCTCGTTTGAAAAGTCTGATTGACCGATGCTTGACGCAGCAATTGGAGTTAGCTGCTCCGGTTCGATTGCCGATTCCAATACCGTTGGCTGTTCTTCGGGCGGCGTTCGGTGTGTCGTCAGCACATGCATTTGCAGCTCATTGGCATCGTCAAATGTGCACTCGCAGAAGGCGCACTGTATCAAATCAGGCTGTGCTGTATTGGAAGTTTCTATTGTTTGCATTGATCCCAGCTTGCGCGCCAATTCTTCCTCATGTTCTGCGTCAAAAATGCATAAATGATTAACCTATGAATCAGCAACGAATATAATTGAATACTCTTACCCTCTATATGTCGATTGAGATGAGCTTGTAGCTGCCGGTGCTTCATAGCTGATGGTTGAAAAACAAAATATGACCTTGATAGGGAAGGAAATAGTTAATTGCATACAACTTACTCTTGCCACAGAAATCACACTTAGAGCGCGTATGCACCGCTAGCTTGTGCTCTTTGAGCGTATCTTTGGAGTTACAGAAGAAGCCACAGATGGGGCATTTGAGATGCTTTTGTAGTTTGTGCCATTTCATGTGAAACCTGAGACGTGATTCGTGTGCATTAGCAAACTTCTTGCCGCATATATGGCACTCGCAATCCTTGAGCATATGTATGCGACTCATGTGCTCGTTGTGCTGTTCCTTGCTGGCTGAAGCATGTCCACATAGCTTGCAATAGACGCCAGGCTCCTCGATTGGAGCTGGTAGCGTGACCAATGCTTCGCCGCTATCATCATCTTCATAGGTGAATTTAATAATATCATCATCGTCATCTTGACTTTCATTCGGCTGAGGCGAACGCTCGAACAGGGTAGAGCTAAAGCCATTTGCAGCGGCTAGCTCCTCAGGCTTTACTTGTGCAAAGGTGGCCTCCTCGTGCAGATGATTAACCAAAGGCGCTGCTGGCTGATATTGCGTCTCTTGTGGCACACGAGCCGTGTGCTCCTCCTTGATAGGTACATGTGGTATATCGAGGGGAGCACAGACGCGCCTGCTGCCATCCTCTTCGCTGCCCTCCTCTTCGTCCGTGTCGAGATAAATGAAGCCACAATATTTCTCCGTCTCACTTTGCGGATCTATTTCCTTTTTAATCACAACCCCATTGTGTGCACGCTTGTAATCGAGCTCATCAAACTGTTCCTGTGTCTCCAGGCAGCTGCGCTTAAAGTTCAGCACTTTTTCGAACTCACCAATGCACGCAATGCACATGTACTGAGGCCGCCCGTCGTTTCTGTCCACCTGTAATAGGAGTTAATTTCAAATTGTTGTCTAACAAACAATGTTCATAGCTACTTCAAGTTTCCAGGCTTTCATTTGCTCCACTATTTCCTGCATGTTGCCATTGAAAATGTCGCCGGCGCCGTTTGTAAATATCGGCTGTATGATTGCATGGTTAGAAATGAAATAAATGCCGCATGTTCGGCACGGCTCAATAACGTCATCATCCCCGAAAGTATTTAGATCAGTGCAATCCATGCCAATTCAGTTGTTTTCTGGTTAATTGCATACAGTTAGGTCATTAATACTAGTCCATAAAATCTACCAAAGTAAATGCACAACGCTTCGTTTATTGTATATAGTATGACAGTTTGCTTTATGCTCAAAAATATCACAAATTCAGATCCCAAAAAATATACCAACTGGAAGAAATACTACAATTTATGGAAATGGTAAAAACGTATATTGGTATATTGGTTTAATATAAAATTATTAACTTAATATTATAAATAATATATACACAAAAAATATTATTAAAATCTATCAATTCGCATATTTGTATTAAAATACCGCACAGTCTATAAATAAAGTGAAAATAACTTTGCTTGCACCATTTTGAGTAGAAATGAGTTGGCAGCGCTCCACAGCACCACATACATGTTGCCAGCCCTAGCTTGAAAGAAAATAAATAGGAATCATCACGCAGTTAAAAATTTTGGGGTGTTGAAGCCGAGCAAACAATTTGCAAACCATTGGGCTTGCGAGTGCAGCGACTTTATTATGAATTTAACGGAACAGAATCCGTATGGCAATGGCCTGCTCTATGCTGGCTTTAACCAGGACCAAGGTATGTAGATCTACTTAGTTTTGTTGTTTACATATTCATGAGCACGAAGCTTCAACGTGCAATACGCATACTATATATGAAGTGTATGTAATGATTTACTAATCTTATTACGCCGCAGGATGTTTTGCTTGTGCCACGGACACCGGGTTTAGGGTGTACAACTGTGACCCGCTTAAAGAGAAGGAACGCCAATACTTTCCTGAAGGTGAGCTTGTGTGTGTAAGGCTTTAGTCAAATGGACTAAATAAATGGTTTGCAGAAAATTATCAGATCAGTAATTCCACACAAATCATATTTTCTTGGTTTGGTTTTATTTTGAATTGATTTTAAACCATATATTTTTTGCTTACTTTTCACTTGAGAAGATATTAATTTCTTCTTTTTCCTACATGTTGGTGCTGAATCGAAATCTTTTAACGCGTTTTCCGCATAATCGTGATTTTTTGGTTATGACATTCTTCAAGTAAATGAGCAATATGTTCAGCTCTTGATTTTAAAATAGGCTTAAATAGGAAATAACATTATGTGCTTTTAAATTATATTTATATAACAACAATCCTCGTCTATAGCAACAACTAGCTTCACTGTTTGTTGTGTGAGACTTTTCCACAGTTGACTAATAATTTTCATTGTATTTGCGCTTTACAGGTGGTCTCAGCCATGTTGAAATGCTCTTTCGCTGCAATTATCTGGCGCTTGTTGGTGGCGGTATTCGGCCCCTGTATCCGCCAAACAAGGTAATTGTCTGGGATGATCTCAAGAAATCACCGGCTATTACTCTGGATTTCAATCAACCTGTGCGCGCTGTACGTCTGAGACGGGATCGGATTGTCGTTGTGCTGGAGGGCATCATCAAAGTGTATACATTTACACAGCAACCACAGCAGCTGCATGTGTTTGAAACAAGCTCCAATCCCAATGGCCTGTGCGTCTTGTGTCCGCACAGCAATAAAAGTCTACTCGCATTCCCTGGCCGACGTACCGGTCATGTACAAATCGTTGATCTTGCCAATACAGAGCGTGCCCCATTGGAGGTGATTGCGCATGAGGCGGCCATCAGTTGCATTGCATTAAACTTGCAGGGCACTCGTTTGGCCACCGCCGGCGAGAAAGGTACACTAATACGCATTTTCGATACAGAGAATGGCAAAAAGGTATCAGAGCTGCGGCGCGGCAGTAATCATGCAAACATATTTTGCATTAATTTCAATCATCTGTCCACAATGATTGTTGTGGCGTCCGATCATGGAACCATACACGTCTTTAATTTGGAGGACAACAAGGCGCGTGAATCATCGCTTCCAATTATACCCAAGTATTTCTCAAGTCAATGGAGTTTTGTTAAATTTTCCATACCGCAGGGACCTCGCTGTATTTGTGCCTTTGGTGCCGAATCCAATTCGGTTGTGGGTAAGTCCATTAAAACTAAAAAACAATTTGTTTACTATAAAATACCACCTTACCCCTTAAAGCTATTTGTGCGGATGGACACTACTACAAATTCCTATTCAATAACAAGGGCGAATGCAGTCGGGATGTTTGCACGCAATTCCTTGAGCTGCAGGATGACGAAACATAAAGTTGAACAATTACTGTGTGGCACCTATATAAGCATATTAATATACATACATGAAATTCGTGTTACACAATATTATATTTAAGCATGCTTTAAACCTACTTTACCAGTCGAAGTTCACAGAAAACTGTAATTAACAATTGTAAATGTTACAAAATTAATTCGATTCGCCGTTCTTCTAGTTGGGATCGCTTGTATTTAGATCTGCGCTATTACTAAAATTTGCGGAACGTTGTTCGAATTGCATTTTCTATCATATAGACTTGAGAATTGCAATACTGAATACAGTTAGAGTAAAAGAGTTGGTATTTTCGTATTTGTTATTCAATATTTTATTAAAAACTCACAAGACGTGTTGATGATCACGTAACACTCCCACTAGAATTTCTAAGTAAGTGGAACATGGATCGAATTGCATATTAAGCTAAAAACGTTTGAGAACTGCAATACTTGATGCAGTAAGTGAAAGATTCCTCTAAGATACACATTCGGTTAGTTCTGGTATTCACACAGATTCAGTTTTTTTGTAATAGGCATACTTACCGGTCTCCAATCGAGAATCCAACTCTACAGGACTAAAGTGCCCTTTTACAAGATGTCTGGGTCATTGAAGACACCATATAAATCGGAAAACGATTGCTAAAAAGGATTCCGCCCGAAAGTTATACGTCACATTACCTGTAGTAACATGCTTGTAAGTTTTCGATTAGCTACAACTGAACCCGATTAGCATATTCAAATTGCAATTATTTTATATAAGATGCCAACACGAAAAAGCACAAGAATATCATATTGGACCATCGTAATAATCTGGAAATTCGTGTGCAATTGAAAATCGATCTTTTGCCATCAGCCCCCTGTCCGTGGGACAAAGAACTGTAGTGGCAAGGATCTGTGCAAGAATATCAAGTAAGAGTGCTCTAGTCGGGAGTGCCCGACTAGGAAATACCTTGAACCCAGCGTCGAGCCACCGTCTCAAGCGATCCTGCTTCCTACTACACTGTGGGAAATGTGTTCGTAATTAACTTCGGTTTATATTGTTCGATGCGTTTGATTTTTTTCAGGTCTTAAATATGGCACAGAAGAGTATGTAATTTCCAATGCGAATGACTCTACCTGTTAACTGGAGTGTTATACAATTTTTGGGGGAAATGGAAGATAACCGAATAGTGAAATACGCTTGATCTGTATATATCTACATAATCTACTTATTTTGTATCTCTAGCATTCTTATATCGATTTAATGAAGATAGGAGGATTTATCGACTATCTTATAGTCCCTGAGATCGATGAGTTGATATATACGAAAGGATGGATATACACCCTTTACCGCCAGACTATTTCTTTAAGGTTTGTCGTGTTTTCCGATTTGTAACACCCCAGTAGTATAGGCAAAGTGTTTTTAAATCAATTTCAGGAGGAGCTCATTAAAAGTCCTTCATTCCAAATTTGGTCCTCTAACTCTTAAACTTTTTTTAATATAGATTTCACCGATTTGTCATCCCCCAGTTGACGTAGTCTATACCATATACAAAAGCTTGATATTATCCTTTATGAAATCAAAGGATTTTTGACTTACTGTCCCCATCTTAATTGGAAATATTTGAGAGTTCTTCGTTCTACCGAAGAGAGGACAAACCCCTTTGGATTAGGATTCCGTTGATTATTACCATTGTTCAGTTTCAGATCAACGCGTGGCTTGAGCCAGTTGTTGCCCATCTTACATTAAATAATTGCAATTTGAATATGCTTACCTGTTTCCACTGTAGCTAATCGAAAACTTTTATACGTGTTATTGCAGGTAGTGTGACATATATCTTTCGGGCAGAGTCCTTTTTGGCAATCGTCTTCTGGTTTATATGGTTTATGCAATGACAGGCACATCTTTTAAAAAGGCACTTTAGTCCTGTAGAGTGGGATTCTCCATTGATGATTGGCACATATGCTTATTAAAAAATAAAGGATCTGCGTGAATACCAGAACTAACACAATTCGCATCTCACTGTATTGATTAATCTTTCACTTATTAAGGAAATAAAACAGCAATAACTGAGAGTTTTGATCTCAACACTTAATTATTTAGTTTTACAGCCTAGTTAATATCATGTAGAGATTCGTAACATTTAAATGGGGTCGATCAGTTCGGAGTACCTGAGTATTCTAGTTTTCTCATAACTTTGGGTGTTTCCAAAATAGTAGAATATTTCCGAGCTGTATATACCATATATATCTCTAAGAAACCATAGCTAGGAAATACGAGATTTATATATGAAAAAGGACGGAGCTGTCGAAAACATGATTGAGATTAAACTTGATTGAGGAACACACTTAAAATTATACAATATTTTGTATAATAAATAATATTTAAACAAGAAGTAGAACTAAAAATGGTATTTTTATTGCTTTACAAATATCACTGGACTGTCTAAAAACATAACAAAAATGTATCTATCGAGCTCAGAGATGCGTGGTATTACTGCTCTCCTCAAAGGCAAGATTGGTGGCGCCTCCAAGTGAACTGCCTGACCGTTCCAGCGTGGTCCGTGGCGTAAAGTCACTCTGCTGCAAATGAATAATCTTTGCCTGCTGCTGCGGGCTGATCGGCACATGCAGGTTCTGTAAGTTGTCCAGTTGTATGGCATTTGTTGGGTTCATGGATTGATTTGGTTGTTTTTCGCTTGCCGTCTGTGGCGGCTGCTTGCGCAGCAGATTCATGTCGGATTTCTTGGAGAAATGTGCCTCAATTTCCTGAAATCGATTGGACGAGTTTTAAACAAAATTATATTGCTTATAACAAGGTTTACTTACGGCCAGTGTGCGTCCCTCAGTCTCCGGTAGTGTGTAATAGAGCACAACGGTGCCAATGAAAGCAACAGTGGCATAAAACGCAAACGTGCCCGGTAACGTCAGTGCACTGAGCATGACCAGGAAGAGCTTATTGGCCAGAAAGCCGAAAACGTAGCCCACGCCGCCTGCAAATCCGGACGCACTGTTGCGTATATCTGCGGGGAAGACTTCGCCAATGAGTACCCAGGGTATCATACGTATGCCCAGATGTGAAAAGAAGGCGGAAAGTAGCAATAGAATGAGCGGCACCCAAACCAAATAGTTGTGCTCCTGTTTGGGTACAGTCAGCAGCAGATCCTCTGCAATGGGTGGTTTTGATGGCGTCGCACCGATACTGACGCCAACAGGGAAAACAGCTGCTTCAGGGAGCAGCGTGGTGGCCTCAAATTCCTGCACCTCTTCTGGACTTAAGGTTGTATCCAGCTCCCGTTTGCTACGATTCCATATATCCATCGTTGTGTCAAATATTGCCATCGTGGTCGTGTCCTGCTCCAGCTCTGGCAGCAAGGTAGTCAATTGCTGCTGCTGCAGCTGCTCATCCTGATATTGATTCTCGAATATTCTCGATATATTCGCTTGCGAAATGATGCTCTCTTTGGGCACAATCGCTGAGGCATTAACCACGACATTGTTTACTGCAAATCCGGGAACATCGTTGAGGAAGTACGCATAGGTCGCTGTGCCAAAGAAGCACAAGCCTGTGCCCACTGTCGAGACAAGCACCAGCGGCCGTTTGCCCGTAAAATGTATCAGAATTACGCCCAGTATGGTGGACAGCATCTCGGCGACGCCTAACAGGATTGTGGCATGATATTTATTCATGGGTGCTTTCAGCGTATGAAAGATCTGCACGGCATATGTCTGTAGAGGCGTTTTCCCGGAAAAGTGACCCGTAAAGAAGGTGAACGAGACGAGCAGGAAAGGCGCGAGGAATGTGCGCTTTCGCCACATGCGCAGACGTCTCTTCAGTGTGCGACGTTGGCCTGGCCCTGCGCCGCCACCCTCGGCAGCCTCCTCGATGGCTTTCTGTGTGATTAGCTCATCGTACAGCTGATTAAATTCCGCCTCAACTTGATGCTCCGGCACCCAGCCGCGTAGCCATTGCAGGGATTTGACTGCCTCGCGGAATCGCTGCTCCCGTATCAACCAGATGGGACTTTCGGGCACAAAGCACAGCATAAAAATTGTAATCACTGGAAAAGCGGAACTCACCGCCGCCACGCTCCGCCAGTCCATCAGGGAGCCAAGTATGAATTGCACAAAGACGCCCGTGATGACGCATGTGGTGCCCAGCGCTGACAAAATACCTCGATACTTCGGCTCCGTAATCTCAGCCACATATGTCAGCACCTGCAAAAGGTGAAGATCATTTAGTATTTTGACATTAACTGCTGTTTGCAACAATAAGTGGCATTTTAAGGCGACCTTCGAGGCCAGCTCACAATGGCAATACAATTCTGCCCCATACGACTTCGCGTATTTATGTCCAAATGCTTATATGTATGTATGTATGATTGAGAATTTAACAAGTGCCGCCTTGACAGCTTTAAGTGTTACCAGGTGGGATTTGGCATTCGAAAAATTTGGTATTTTTATAACATGCACGCTTTGTGCTATTTGCAGGCTGTTATTGAGGATCATCTTGTTCGGAAAAAATTAATTAATCATGATTATTTGGATTATCGTGACAAAACAACATCGCGCAAATTGCATTGAATATTGCCAATTAAACAATTCTAATCGTGACAGCCGAAACAATCAAAGCTATTCCGGATATTGCAAGAAATATAAAATAGTTAATTTAAATAAGAACCAAAATCGATATAGACATAGTTTTCTAATTTCTGGGCTAATTACACTTTCAGTTTTACTTGTAATCTAATATTGTATTACTTTTGATTTTTTTAAAAATTAAATTCTTTCAGAAAAATGATAACGACGCAAAATAGAATTTTTGTTCTTTATCATGTGAAACTAAACGAATACGACACAATTAAAAGCCCCAAATATGCTGGAAAAGCTAATAAATATAACAAATTACAAAAAGTAAATGTTTTAGAGTCACGTAGGTCGGTCGCCAAGACTTATTCGTTGCATTGTGAGCAGAGGAAGCCTGGTAGTTGGTATAATAACAAATGTGCATTGTTTTTTAAGCAAGGTCAACACAAAATCAATCTTACAAAACTTGGTTACAGAAAAATGCAATTAGTTGGTTAGTTGTTTAGTGGGCTTGTTTTGAATGGTCATGATCACTTACTGGTGCTTCCATCAGGCCGCCGCCGAGACCAGCCAAGCATAACGCCGCATACAGATGCTCCGTGCGCGTGGCAAAGTGAAACAAAAGCCAGGCAGCCAGTATGGGCAGGTTGACAAACTGAAAGCGTAATCGGATACAGATACATTGGCACACACAGATACAATGCAAATGCGTTAATAACAAAAGATCACGCGGTTTGGAGCATCAGCATAATTGCACAATAAAACCACGCGGTTCATTTCAATTTCCAGTTCAGTGTGTCAATGTTTTATTTTGCCGATAGTTGAGATTTATCGGTATGTATATATAATTCTTTTGGATACGCACCTGCATAGCTCTGCGCTTGCCCAGAGGCTGTGTTAACAAGCCCGAGAAGAGACAACCCAGCGGCACACAAATTAAATTAATGGAACCTGCGGAAATAATTATGAGCACGAGCACTCTAATCTGTTGTATCCTGACTTACTGAACCATGATATTTCCTCTTTGTTAAGCACTATATCACTGCTATGATCCTCGCTTCGCCCCTCGCCGCCCTGTATGGCTGGTATAACAATTGTGGGAAATCCCAGAGTCATGCCATAGCCTGCAATAGGATGTCCATGTAGATTTTTTTTAGAATTTACTAGGTTTCCTTTTAACTACGATCAATTTGTGTTTTTTAAAATCAGGGAATGAAGCCAATATTATTGAAGACATTTTTGCAAAGAAACTAATTTTCTAGAGAGCAAAGTTCACAGAAAACTAACACATACAGACATTATTTGAGTAAACGAATTTTCCATTGTTCATTGTTAGTTTGAATGCTTGTAAGTATATTGATTAGCTCTAACGAAATTCTGTAGCTTCATTCCCTGATTGCTTTTAATTTTGCATTAAATATGCATATATAATTAAAAATCCGAGTATCACAAGTTATTTACCGAATAGCAATATGTTCTTAATACTAACAGCTAGAAACTGTGGCAGGGCCCGTCGAAAGTTGCTCACTTCCACATCGATCACACCGGAAATGCGCCGATTGTTGTTGCTACCATTTTGCATGAATAAAGGACGATCATTCAGTGCGCTGTTAACGATAATAATAGTAATAATAATAATAATACAAAAAACAGGTTTTTTTAACATAATGTTGTTAAGTGACTTTTTATAGTAATTTAAGCAGCGGCGATTTAATTTGTTGTTTTGTTTTTTTTTCTTTACCCATTTTTCTCAGCTAACACAGCTCCCTTGCCATTGAACATGGTGGCGTATACTTGATTTGTATGATGATGACTTTTTAAATTGTGCTTTGGTCATGCGTTTCACAGCTGGTGTTTTTTATTTTCCTAAGTGTTTTGCATAGCTAACAAAACAATACACATCAATGGAGAGCGTTCAAGTTAATATCTGCAACCAATTTAACGAATAGTATACTTAACGCGCCAAACCTAACGCATTAAACTTAACGCTGCCAACTTATTGAATTCCACTTAACGCAGCGTAGCTTGCGCAATAAACCTAACGCTATCAACTTAACGCAACACTTCGCGGCGCTGTTTATTGTGAATTATCGAATTTTTAATTGACAACGACAACGGATAATTACTCAAAATTCAAAACGAAGCGTCAATGCAGTTGTTTTTTTGTTTTTGTTTTTGTTTTCGGCTTTCTTTGACATATTTTTGTTTCACTCAGCACGAATGATTATTATGCGCCTGGGAACGTCGCATATTTTAACACAAATGGTTGTTACGTGTTAATATGTGCAAATTGATTTATTTTCTTTTGACCATATTTATGATTGTAGCTTTGAAGGCATTCATTAAGATATGTATCAGATAGCTTTTTAACATCTTTTATTGATTTTGGGAAACATATTGAAATATTGTTTATGCATAAGTGGCGAGCATTTATAAATTATTATTGATAACTTTAACGAGAAGTCAACACAATTTGCATAAATAATAAAATATCAATAGCACAGCTAACACCTGGGGCGGCATTATACTTTCGTAAAAAGCAGTCGGCGGCTTAAACCAGTTAAATTCGCAGGTTCAGCGTACTGATGTCAACAAAAGCAAGTTTAGAAACAAGCTTTTCCTGTAAAAGCCTTAATGCTTAAGCTGTTTACCTTTCCTGCTAAGCTATTAATTTATAGGTCAGAGCCAGGTCAGACCTTGACAGCGGCACCTCTTAAGCAGACCCATAAACCAGTTAGCAGTTTGAGATGCTCATCTCGGGACCGCACCTAAGGAAACGCAACTATAAGGTTACCTTTCACCTACTACATCATTTTGATCGTGTCTTCACATAACCGCCGGCTAGAAATTAAAATTGTTGCTTGTGTTTTCTAGGGTGTGCTGTTGTTTATTTTGATAGCTATTTCTGGTACTTTGCGCCAGCTGGTACGCACTCCAGGTGTTGGTGCCATCTCAAGGGGTGGCATGAAGAGTTTATAAAAATAAAAAAATTATTTGTAGTTTTTACTGTCTTTCGAAACTGGTTTTTAATTATGTACCAAGAATTTGAGGTGTGAAATTTGCATAAGCTCCAAAATAAATTAATTATCTAATGACACACATTAGTTTGCCAATTGTGTTCGCTTGGATCTGAGCAATATTATAGCCAACATCTTTTGTTGTTTTTATTAGGGACATTAGTAACTTTTTTAGGTCAGCTATGGACTTTTTAAACAACACACGGCTTAGCTTCTTCGCAAACAATTCGTATTTATGAAATTCAGATTCGTTCGGGCTGGCCAATGGTCACATGCACGCGCTTGCACAATCCGAATACCAATTGTTAATGCAAATGCCGTAAGCCACAACCGGAACCGCAGAATTCTGGTCATAAAAGAAACCTTGAAATCGTATGCTTTAGCCAAAGCGTGAACGAGAAACGGCGCACAAACAAATCCTTTTAGCTTATATTAAGTTGGCATTTACATAATTATTGATTAAATTGTGTATTAAATTTCCAATTTGTTTAACAGATTTCACACAATTTTTGCACTTAATATGCCGTTACATAGAAAATTTTACGCTATATTGTATTTTGTGCGATTCACTTTAGGCCAACAACATTGCGCGTCGCGCGGTCAAAACAAACTGAAATCTAAAATGAAACAAGCCCGAAGCTCAGCTCAGCTCAGCTCGTCACTTACAACAAAAGCAAAATAGCAATAAAAAGAAAAACAAATACAACAACAATTTAAAAGCAAATACACATGTTTGCTGCAAACGCAGCTTACAAAACAAACCTCGGCTCTCTCTCTCTCTCCACAGTCGCCATCAACGACGCTGCTGCCGACAGAGTTGATTGCGTCGCATTGATTGTAAATAGCTTAAAAAATTCACAAAGTGTTCCACATAATGCTGGGTATTCAAAATATTTCAAAATTAAACATTGTAATTTAACAGAATATATTTTAATAAACTTCAATTTAAAAAAAATAATTCTAATTGAATTACCAAAAAAGCCTGGTAGGCTGTCATAAAATTATAACCATAGGATACAGCTTTTTAATGAATAGTGTACAGTGTTATTAATCCGATTACTATAAAAAAAAAACTTGGTCACTCTAACAATGTAACCGAATCCAACCTTAAGACGGACCATTTCGGCTTTAGTGCAAAAAATATAGGGAGTATTTTGTATAGGTCTCCCGCCTCTATTAATCTAACTCGATTAAATTTAATCAATATCTTCACGTATGTACATAAGGCGATTATATTTACATATACATATTTACATAAGCACACATACATACATATAGTAATGTATAAAAGCGAAACGTAAGCTTCATAACCAACTTTGGTTTAAGCCTTTGAAATGATTTGCACTTTGTTGTTATGCCTAGCTACATATATGTATAGATATATGTACATATGTATATGTTGAATTGACAAAAACTATAAAAAACATAGGTATGAAATATCAACCCGGTTCATTCTATTTACCGGTGCAAGCGAACAGAAACCGGTATTTAACGTTATCCTATTTATACTTTGTATCGAAAATAAAATCAATCAAAGCTGCGCTTACAATACACACACGTACACATTCACACACACACACACATACGTAGTATGCACACAAACTGTTGTTGTTAACAAAGCATTGCAGTTTTTTTTTCTAGCGACAGAGCAGCACAGACAGCGACCGTCACAACGACAGAGCACATAATGCGGCCAGACTGACGGAGACTTAGCGAGAATTTACACATTGGCAATTAACTGCAAATAAAACCGCATTTTAAGAATTAAATTGTATTCGCGACAACGAGACAGTGAATGCGAGAAATGGAAACAGGTTTAAATAAAAATAACCAAAAATCACAAAAATCAAAATCGAAAATGGTACGCTTTGAACCTAAACTTACATAAATAGAAAATAATAACAATGCCAGCATTCCGGGTTATACACATTGTTTACTGTGACTGAAGCGCACCTGGACTAACACATTTATTCTGGTAATTAAACAATTCGCTTTAGACCTATTACGCTAATATGAATACATACATATAAAAACTTAGCTGCAAAGTGTTTGGTGTTAAAAATTAATTATCGCTAATATAGTTTATTGTTTTAAAGGGGATTTGACTGAGTCGAAAAGAAGCCCGGTTCAGAAGCCCTGTTACATCGAAAATTGGCCACAACTTAATTGTGATTGTGCTTCGCGTTGCGTTTCCAAAAAGAAAAGTGATTGAGACGGGTTTGTTGCGGGCCAGGTGCTTCATGATTTGTCGTGTTCATTTTTCTTGGCTGCAACTCAAACACTCACAATACACTTGCATTTCCGTTACAACATTTCGCATCGCTGTCAATTTCCGAACTCGCATGCAAACGAAGGTCACGGTAGACAACAACAATATTGTATAGGATCGTACGAACAATTTGAAATAAACGTTTTTGGATGCCCCGCACACGTGATCATTGGCAGTGATTTATGTTTGCTTTGCACAAGTGTCTAGTTGTTTTTTTTTAATTGCCCTGCACTGACAGCATTACTTCTCAAATGATAAATTCTCTCACCGAACAATTAACGGAAATGCGAAATTTAAATTTTTAAGGCATCAGTCGATTATATAAGCGACGCACACACACACACACACACAGACACACGAGCAATTTGATTTTGTGCGACAGCGTAGTAAGTACTTAATTGGCAGGGAAAATAATTTTGGAATGACTTTCAGTTTACAGTGGATGCCCTTACATATGTACATATATTCGAACACGCATATTTACGTACATCATGGGCGTTTGACGACTTATGTTTCTGCGCAAGCGAGCCTCCGCCATTTTATTTTTTATTTCCAATAGCTAGGGATTTATGTGTCCATTCGATGATCTTGAACTCCGACGGCGCACTGATGGATCCTCAAACTTTTCTTCGCTTAAGCATTGTAAATTTCAAATACCGGCCAAAAATGGGTTTAAGCGACCCAATAAAGTTTTTGGTTAAGAAATTAGCTGCAAACTGTTAATTGCACAAGCCAATACAAGCGCGCATATGTACAGGCTTGAAGCGGGTGTATTGTGACGTGTCTAGCCACATTGCTTTTTAGATAAAGCAAATTAATAGAAAATATTCCAACAAATTTACGTAACATGAAAAATAAATACACTTTGCTCTTAATGCTTCTACATTTGCTGATAGCTACGTAGGCCTTTTGTGTTTGGCGCCATTTGTATGAACGCCCTGTGCTTGCATACACCAAAACCCATTCACGATGGTATTACTTTTTGAAGTGTGCACACACTGAGCCAATTGTAAACGACATACAAGAAATCGGATTTAAAAACTTTGTGTACACATTGTATATTGTGTCAATGGTAACACGATTTTTACCGCGTTTTTTGTCCAACATCCGTAAACCGTTTAACGCTTTTGATCAGACTAGTTACAAAAAGAAAATGAGCTCTGCGAATGGAGAACCAAAGCCGGCTAAACGTCCCACGCCCCTAACGATAGGCACTCACAACGGAACGTTTCACTGTGACGAGGTTGTTGCCTGTTTTCTGCTTAAACAATTGCCCGAATATGAAAATGCTGAAATATTCCGCAGTCGCGACGAAAAGGCATTGCGTGAGAAATGCGATATAATTGTAGATGTGGGCGGCGTCTTTGACCACGAGAAGAAATGGTACGATCATCATCAGCTGACTTTTAAGGAAACCTTCAGCACTGTTCTCCCGGAACTGGTCGACGAATTTGACATAAGGTAAGAAAAGTTGGTGATCTGATAATTTTTGAAATTACCTAACCCGTCTTTTTGTAGACTGAGCAGCGCGGGCCTAATTTACTGCTTCTATGGCGAGCGTGTGATACAATGTATTTTACAACGCGAGAGAAATATGCAACTATCTGCAAAAAATATAAAACTTGCATTTCTGCAAATCTATCGGAATTTTATCAGTGAGCTCGATGCCATCGACAATGGCGTGCCCATGTTTGAGGTTGGCGAGCCACGTTATAAGATATCGACACATTTGTCGGCTCGCATTAGCAAACTGAATCCCTCGTGGCAGGAAACAGACGTTGATAGCGAGCAGCGCTTCCATACGGCCATGACTGTAGCTGGCAAGGAATTCGTTGATAACGTGCTGGAAGTGGCCTGCACTTGGATTGCGGCGCGTGATTATGTCCGTCAGGCATTGGAGCAAGCAAAATCGGTGCATGCAAGTGGTCAAATACTTCTGCTAGAAAGATTCTGTCCGTGGAAAGTGCATTTGAACGATTTGGAAAAGGAGTACGGCGTGGAAGGTGTGCCCAAGTTGGTCATATTTAATGAGGGTGCCAATTGGCGAGTCGCAGGCGTGCCCGTCACGCCAAGCAGCTTCCTTGGTCGCAAGTTCTTGCCAACACCTTGGCGGGGTCTTCGCGATGAGCAGCTGTGCCAGAAGGCTGGGACTAACGATCTAATATTTGTGCATCACACAGGCTTCATTGGTGGTGCCAAGACAAAAGAGGCTGCGCTGGCCATGGCACAGAAAAGCATAGAGTTTGTCGACGAGAATACAGCTTAAATCAATATACAATAAACTAGGTCATTTCCTTACAAATTTTATTTGCTTCATGTTATACGAAAAAAAAAAGCTTAATCCATGCGAGTCTTCAGCGTACGCTCCGTTATCTTGTCCTTCTCGATAATGTAAACAGTGGCGCCCCAACCGCTCATGGCATCACGATCGAATGCATTTACCATCGACTGAGCGATGACCTCGAACAGCTGATCCGGTTCCAAGTCCGGGCGCCATAGCGTCTCGCACATACCATACAATTGCTCAGCACAGGTGCCAGCTACCACAAAGTCATCAGGCTCGTTGGGGCATCCAATAAGGTCCATGTTGCAGATGAAGGGTTTCATGGTCTTTGGATCCAGACCTGCCACCACCGGCTCGATGAAGTAGGGTCCAAAGCGATGCTCGTACAGAAAACTAGACAGCATGGCCGAAAATGGTTTGGGTGCCATCTCCCGATTCTCCTTTGTTTCGTATATGTTTTTACGGAACATCAGACGATCGCGTACTGTCAATATGTCCGTCTGCAGGCCAGTCAATCCTAGGAACATCCGCGGTGCAATGTGGAACACTTTCTTAAAGTCTGTGGAAATGGTTTGTGCCTGCACGCCAAAGCGGTGATCCGTTGCAATAGCCACGCAGTCCTTACCCCGCATAGCGACCACGCAACCTCCATTATAGGCCAAAATAGACATTGTTAGTTATATTTCACTCTGTAACAAAGATGGGCGTAAATTAGACTTGCAAAATGCTAAACGCCGCTTCGAAGATGACTTTTTGTTTCTGTCCGTATGCTCAGCGTTGCCAGACTGTTTTCAAAGAAATGAACTAAATAAAACTGCAAATTTATGGACAGGTTGGCAGTACTTTTTGATGTGAAAGTGTTATCGAACTGACGTAGATAATTTAAAAATAAATATACGAAAAACTAAGGGGAGTCCAGCAAATAAATATGATACATTAAAAAACATTAAATAAGCAAACGAACCAATAAGCCTGATGTGGTTTTTAAATCAGTCTACAAACGCTACTACAAAATACTGCTAGTTAGATTAAGTTCTGCATCAAAGCTGAAAAGAGCGAATAATAAGTAACAACTTTGAATGGTGCAGCTGATTTAGTATCGATAGGTCTTACCAAAAACGCAAGCTATATTACGTCAAGGATTAAATCAATCCGAATCTGATTGAAATCGTATTCAAAATCAAAATTAATGACATTCGAATAAATAAATCCGATAATGGCCTCAAATGCACGGGGGCTGTGCATATAGAGCACGATTTATCAATTATTAGAAAAGGGTATAGCGTGCATTGAGGGCCATTGTCCCTGAGTTAAGAAATTAGGGCTCAAAAACAAGGTTGATTTTTTGCGGTCATTTTGTATGGGGCCGACAAGGGGTTGCTGTACTCTTTACCAAATATTTAAAAAACGGTACCGAATATTTTCATAAAATTTTCACAGTTGGCTAGGTAAAATTATAGACTTTAATCGTATATAATAATAGACTTTAATCGTATATATGCGGTTTTCGAGACTATTATCCCTGTAAAATACAAACGGCCGTTGGCTTTATTTTTACGATTCTCGTCCGTTCCGTACGGCTCCGATTTTAGAATTGAATTCTTCTTTTTATTCTTCTTCTTGTTTTGCTCGAAGTATCGATATCGTAAGCGATATCGATACATCAGGCATATTGCACTAAGTTGCTTATTATCTCATCCTATAATATGGTTACATTGATACATTTAAATTTACATTCGATTGGTTGTCGATCTTACATCCCTGAATATAAATTTGAATAATTATCCCAGTAAATAATTTAATATTTTGCAATTCTGCATTTAAATTTAATGGGTCTTGTGCTTAAAAACATTAATAAATGCATTTAAAAGCGTCCGATTCCTTTTCCGATACCAAGTACCAAAAATCGACGCTAAGTCACCGCCGCTAATTTGACGCACGTAAATATTTCTAACAGAAGACGACCGATATCATGTTCTTATATCGATACTTTTGTTCGAAAGAACGAACCGAATGAGCGACAATAAGTGATTCTGTTCGTTCATTCAGTTCGGGAAGTCGTTCAATCGAACATATTCCGAACAATTGGTACAACTCTAACATTTACGTGCCGTCGCTTATTAATAGTGGAGAAAAATTTATAAATATATTTAAAATTAAGTGTACAAGTGTCACACAAATACACGTGCATTTGCGGGCAATTGCACAGTGTGATTACAATCCTATTGCTGTGTAAAACCACAAAGAAGGCCAGCAAATAGCGCAAAAGTCAAATGAAAAGTATAAAGAATGACTTGTCAAAGAGAATAACACGAATTTGTTGGAGGCAGTAACGCGCGGCGTGGTGAATATATATAAAGCGCGAACGAGAAAGCAATGAAAATTGTAAGTGGGTAAAAACGAGAAAGCGCTAAAGTCACCACCCTGAGAAGAGAGTTGCTGTAGGGACAAACAACCAAATTTGAAATTTTCTTGCAACTTTAAATAATGCCCAAATATCACTTAATGCCAGCATACAAGTGCTAAGTTAATTCACATATTGTTTGAATTAAGTTATTGCGAAACGATAAATCTGTGTGCTTGTGTGTGTGTGCGTGCACCAAACAACAGCAGCCAAAACAGCTACAGAAATTCAACAAACACAGCAGTAAAAGAAACAACAACACAATGATAAAAATGGAGACTGACAAAATAATGGACGAGACTAACTCCAATGCCCAAGCAGTAAGTACATCATTCATTAAATTATTTCATGCGTAGATTTTGTGTTCTTCATATGTGTATTGGTATATGTATATACATATATGTATGCAATGTTCAATATCAATACATACATCATGCTCAAGGTGTCACATATGCAAGCATGTACAAACATAATATGTACGAATTATGTTCGTTTGTATTTGTGTTTTATTTTCGTATACACATACGTATACAAATGTATTTGTATTTATATACATGTATATATAAATTTTGCACTCGTGCACTCTATTAAAATTTTGTTAGCTTTTCTTTTTTTAATCAGTTCGCATTCGCTCATTATTTTGTATACCCTTTAACCATTAAATAATTGATAATAATGATTAATAAAGCAGAAACAGGTGGTATTAACTGATTTGCTATTGTATATACACACATATAGTATCATGATCAGCAAGAGCAATCGGGTACGATCTGACTACAAGAGCTAGAAGTCTCCAACTTGACATTTTCGTTTTTTTATAACATAAGCAAGACAATTTGATTTTAATGTCTCGTACCGTAAAATCGATAAATATGAATATGTGCCTCAGATTTTTAAAATATATATTTTATATTATAAGAGTATTTGACAAGTAAGTTTTTCGTATAGCATACATCCAAGTATAATTAACCTTCTAAATACATCCTAAAATAAAGGGAAAGCGTATTTTCAGCTATATAAGCTTGATTTTTGGTATCTTCACACAATTCAATGCGATCAAGTTATTTAAGAATTTAGTTGTAAAAACTGTATGTGGAAGAACAGGGTATCTGCGCGTCAATAAATCACGACAGTACTTTTACTTGTTTATATTTGTATATTTTGTAATTAGCAGTTAATTGGCCTTCATTTCTTTCAAGTTTTGTTTATGCACACAACTCATATATTAATATATGTAGGCATATTTGTTATTATTTACTTTGTATAAATATTCATATTTATTTCAATCCGTTTAATACAAGTTGTTTGTATTGAGTTTATTGTATGTCAATATGGGGCGAAGGCGGAATAAAGGTCAGTTTTCCCCTCCCCCCATACGCTGGCAAGCAGTCAATAAATGCTTCTCCATTCATTTGCTTACTTGCTGTTGGTTTTTCTGTTTCTGGGTCAAAAGTTGATTTTTGGCCAAAATGCACGCGGTCAGCAATTAAGTTACATTTGAGTCATATTTGTTATTGTTAGCCCAAAAGCTGACATCAAGGTGAGATGGCGGCCAATTTTAACGTTTCTCATTAAGATTTCACAGCGCAGTCTCTCGCGAAATAGATCCGAAACACAGGTCGCAAAACATTACTATATATATATAGTGTATATATGTATATATATATATATATATACAAGGCTACAAACCAGTTCGGTAACGTTTCTCTCTGGATTTTATAATCATTGCAAAGATTATCCAAAAACATTTAAATGCGAGCAATGCACAAAATTCTACATTTTTATTGGAATAAATAACAAGAGAAATTTATAACAGTGAAAGCTCTGTTGCTTTAACATCAGTCTTCTTGTTAATAACAGAAATTCAGGATAACATATATTAAAAGATCTGTTAATATGTTAAATGAACATTTTATTTACTACATTCTCGTATGTGATTGTACCTGTTGATATTTGTATATATTTCCATTATTTTAATTAGTAAACTAAATAATAAATGGAAACTTTAGGTATAAGCCGATCGCAAGCATTTTAGTGTTTCTAGAAGTAATTTTTATTATGTATCTATGCTTTTGTCAATAGTTCTTATAAATTTGACATGTCTTTTGAGCAATCATATAAAAATACCTAACACAGTGGCTGTTCACTCGAAGATAGCTTTCACTGTAGTTTTATTTAGGGTGTTTAGTCTTTCTCGGGAATATAATATCTTGGAAAAATTTCAAGCAAGCTCCCTGACATACATAGTTGTGCGAAAAGCAAGGAAAACCTTTTTTTCTAGCTGTAAGTGGAAATCATTGTTTGCACTGCCAAGTGGCTAATAAGCGTAGCCGGAGGCCATAAGTCTCAACAGTCATTACCTACACCAAAATGTTAGCCTCAAAAACGATTTAAACTTTACTTTTAATACAAGCGCAAATAAACAACTCTAACAAACAACAACAACAAATATGATATGCTATTCATTTAAGCCGCTAAAAACGTGTACAAACGCATACACACACACCTCTATATACAAGGCTTTGATGTAGTCAAGGTGTTAATACAACTACATATACAGTATTTAAACACTTATCATACTCACATACACACACACATATACGCACATACACGT